TCTACCCATGATTGCACAGAACTAGGTCGGACCACACCCAGCATCATTTTGACCTACACACCTGCAAAGTGTTGTGTCTGCATCTTGCACGTTTGTGATTCAATTGCGGTGACGAAATCTGTCCTCAGACATATAAACACCTGGTGACACACTGCACAACTGTAAGTTCTTAGTTGTTTCCATTTGGTAGAGCTTAGTCTAAGCCTCCATACTTTTTGTTTTGTCATACTGGCAGTCTATCTACACATAGCCTACGTATATTGTCGTTTGTGGGTATGTTTTCATGATTTTTCTACGTATAGCACCTTGAACAAACATGAATTGTGCATTGTAAAGCATCGGCTTGCCCTTTCTAATTAATAAGATGCAAAACATGGGGAAGTTAGCTTACTGCCCCTTGTGTTTTAGGACGAGATTACTCCCAGCAACACCAGCACTCTGTAATATGTCTCACATTGCCTGGTTACAGATCCCTATCTTTCTATTATTTGTTGTGTGCTCACTGTTTCCACCTCTGTTATCTCATCCTCATGCACCTCCTGACCACTTGCTTTCCCGCTTGCTGTGATATTCCCAAGGAAGTGCTATATTTACAGGAATAAATCAACGTCATACGGGTTTGGGAAGACTGGGTCACCTGACATGACTAACGCTATGAGAGAGCAACGCTGTAACAGTAAAGATGGTATTCAAACATGAAGCCAAACAATACTGTAATATTCAAACTGCAGAGGGCATATTCAATGATACAATAGAAGGGACAAAACAATCTGATTTGATACTTTATTTAGAAAAAAACACTTTTCTTTCATGACTATCATACCATTAAATAATTGATATGTATACAACTGCGAAAAAATCTATTTCTTTGTACTAAATAATGTGTTATTTAAAGACTGTGATGCTATGATTCTGGTGAATCCATGTCTGACAGCACAACAATGGGAGCTTTGACTCAAATGGAAACAGGAGCTCACAACAGCAGCCTTGTGTTGTGAGAGGGAGATGAAGATGAAGAGGGGGAGGGTTTAAAGTCAACACCAGCACGCAATTGGTGCATTAAGTGATTGATTTGATATTGTGAATGGAGTTGATGGGAGTCTGCTACAGCGTCACAAATCAATCCATCAGGAAGGGCGTGTATCTTATCTGTGTGTGTGTTTAATGCACAGGAGTGTCACGTAAGTAGCAGTTGAGACACCGATTGTATTTATCATGCACAGTATTTTAATGCATGTTACTATTTGCAAGATTTGATGTTCCCTGAATAAACTCAGATTTGCTCCTGAACCATTTGTTGTCAGAAAAGGGGAAATATCGTTCTGTGGCATAACGCACCAAATGGCAAACTGTAGGAGATCTGTCCTGAAGTTTTAAATAACCTGCATCTTTACATATTACTAGACATATTGTGACATGTTCTACAACTGTCTGAGATTATTTTGAAAGAAGAAAAAAAGGAAGGAAGGAAGGAAGAGAACTCAATGGAGTGGTGGCAAAAATAAAGTTTGTACTGTCTGCAGTGTGATGGACGATGAGTCAGGATTGTGTCTGGAGGTGTCGGGTTTTGTAGGTACTTCCCAAAGATGTGGTATTGGATAATACTACGACAAAACACTTAAACTTAACGTACAGATTTCAATCAGGGTGAACAAATGAGAAAATATGACTTGTTTACATCCTTTTTATTAAGTAGCCAACAGGAATGCAAAGTATGAATAAGAAGCTGTTGTTTTAGCATCAGATACTATTACAAATACTTGTGTAAATGTCTAAAAATGAATAAATAAAGAGACAGAAAAACATAATGCTTGGTTGTGCAAAAAGCGATTTTGTTGTTTTTACCTTGACTTCTGACGCCCGAACAGCAAGAACTCTGCATGAGTTTGGCAAAGCTGCAAAACCACAGGCTGCTCTCCGTCTCCATTCATCATTTGGGCCGCTGGTGAAAAGTGCACAGGAGGTTATTTGTTAAAGCAAAGACTTTCTGGAAGCTTGGAAAAGACACAAATAAAGATGGATCTCGATACGTATGATGAGACATGATTCTGAACTTTTAAGTAGAGCAAAGGAACTACATGCTTCAAACACCTAACAAAACAGCAGTGCTTCTAGTGATTCCAGTGGATTCTTACACATTCACAACTTGGTACTGTTGTTGAACAAATTAACAAGCTCTGCATATTTTGGCCGCATATCCAGACTGGTATATATATTTTTCACAGTGCCATTATCAAAGCTTATTGTTCTTGGCAGGGACAATTCCCTCTTAAAGGCTTAAAGTGCCAAATGTGCCTGCACCATATGTGTTCCTGTACTGAGTGACATCTCGGCTGCCGTCCTGCAGGCACGGAGGATTCCAGCTGAAAGTCTACACCTGCAAAAGGGGAAAACCCCTGAACATGTCTTACAGACGTCCAGGACCCTCCTGTTTATGAAATCTGTCTGCCTGTTGGCTCAGTTCTGCTTTATTAACCTCAAATGCCTCCCCTAAAATTTGTCATCTATGTTAGGAGCGACTGTGACGCACAGCTCACCCCCCCCTGCCCCCCCCGACCTCCCCTCAGATGCGAGACATAAATCACAGCAGAACCAAATTAGAGTCTAAAAAAAGGAACTGAGTGGGGTATTTTAGTGAGCCTCCAATAACTCATGTGCTTGCTCGAGGTGGAACAGTTGAGATGGCATCGTGTAAAATGAAAAGGTAATGATAATAACCTGAGACATAATAAAAGATGCACAGGATGAATGGGTTATTCTTGGTTAAAATGATATACGGCTGCATCGAACAATACATTACAGTCATGCACAACTTTAAGCATTCAAATAAAAATTAAAGACAGATCGAGTGAGAAGCTATTCAGCATTTCCAAGGGTAGTTTTTAGTTCATTAAAAGTATAAATTAATATCCCTATAATGGGCTTTAAAGTGGCAATCTCAAAGATTTTCATTTAAATAAATGTCAGTCAAGTATTGCAATATTTATATATTTGCAGTTTTACTAACTGCGCGTCTGTGGTGACATTTCCAGGGAAAAAAAATAGTATATTACTGTTTTTCTCCATTGTATACAAACAAAAGATTTATTTTAGACTTTGCACACAATTCTGAAAACTTGTATGTTGTGTATCAACAACAAGCTCAATGCCATTGTTCTCACTGAAATATAAATTGTAAATCAACCAGGACTGAAATCTTAAGGACTGCCCCTTTAAACCGACACATTCCAGTTTTGTAAGAGCACAACAGTGGGAGGTAGTTACAACTGCTCACACTAGAGGGAAGCAGCAAGAGGAGGAATTCAGATTCAGGTTTCTGGAACTTTCTGAGACCTCCATCAGAAATACTTAGACGTGATTTTGTGCACGTGTGTTTTAGTTTTTACGTGTTATGAATCAAGTCACAGGGAGAGCATTATTAGGGAGAGAGAATAAAATCGGGTTTCACAGCAGCTAAAGTTACATGTGCGAATAGCCTGCAGGATTTACTACATTACTTTAGGCATTATACTTCCTCTACCACCTGAAATAATACGATTTCCATATTGTGAGTTTGTCTGAGAAAAAGCAAAGGAGTAATTCTCTTTCAGCCTTACACATATGTGTAATAGGCACATTTGGAATAAATCTCTGCAAACATCTGAATGCAAGTTTGAAGACCAAAGGACTTTGGGGTACAGTGAAATAAAACCAATGAAAATCTTTCACAACAGTTCTGTACTTTCATCTTTTATCTTTGCATGTATAAACAAAGTTAGTCTTTTTTGAAAGGTAAATAACCTGATTAAACAGGAAGTGATGGCTCTTCTTTGTACTGGAAAATAAAAGCATAACTTGTCAGAAATAAATGTTTAATTTGGAACTATACTATGTGTTAAATTAGTTTGTTTTTGTCACTTGGAGGCTGCAAATTTTATTTGGCTGGTGAATTTTATTTGATCCTTAAAAGAGTAATTTGATGTCTTGAACCATTATGGGCTGTTGACAAACCAAATTCCCTGTACGAGCCAAAATGGCAAATTTCCTTATTCTTAGGTTTCACAGTTATTTAACAAGTTAAACTTCTTCTGAAAGTAATCAGGCTTAAAGCCACTCACAAGTAGTGTGTTCTGAGGGATTTAAATGCCATTTAAATTTAATAAAGACTAATAATAGAATAGTGCTGCAGGGTAAAGTGTCCTAGTGTCAATCCTCCACACCAGAGGTTCCCGTAGTGGAGAGTAAATAAGTACATGTATTTAAGTACTGTAGCTTAGTACAATTTCGTGGTAGGTCTGCATTGAGTATTTCCATTTTATGCTACTTTAGTTCACTATATTCCAGCGATAAATATTGTACTACATTTATTTGACAGCTATATTTACTAATAACTTGTCATCGTCAGACTTTACAAACAGAACACACGAGGAGAGGAGCTTATAAATTATGATGCAGCGCTTCACTCGCCACTATGGTGTATAAAGTATTTAAAATGGGCTGCACATTGAAAACTTACAAGTTATGATAACTGATAATAATGTAAAAGGAGTGTTTCTGCGTCATGAGTACATTTACCTTTGATACTTTAAGTAAGCCTATACACTTTACTGATACTACTATTATAATATAATACTATTATTACTTGTATTTAGGGGTGTGAAGAGGACTTCCACCACTGATTATAGGTCATAAATAAATAACAAATTGGACTGATATACTTATGAAGCATTGTATTTTTGGCAAGAGCTCAATTGTCTCACCCCCAGCTGTCAAACAATAAACCCCCTGCAGCTAAGACTAGAGTATGTGTGTTTATAGCCATGCCTTTATTTATTGCCTCGTGCATTTACTCTCCGTCTATCTCTCTCTCTCTCTCTCTCAAGCCGAAACTTTCCTCTCCTCCAGTCTGTGTATGTTATTTGGTTGCTAGGGGTGGAGCAAACATCTTCAGCCCTCCTCTCACAGTATTTTCATCCATGCTTACGTCTGGGACAGCAGTTCCGCATTCCTGAGCTCTCACAGACAAGATCAGTACTTAAACGGGCTGATGCAACGGCTTCAGTTGTTAGTCCCAAAGCTCACATCCGACTCCACTCCCGCTCCGCTCCCATTATTACTGCGGATTTTCGGACGCACAACAGGTAAGACTGCGCGTGAGCCGTCGAGTTGTGTCGCTATTGTTTGTAATTACAAGCTTACTTGCATATATATATATATATATATATTTTTTTTTTGCACTTCTCTCACCACGTTGTAACGTCAGAGGCTCAACACGCTGGATTTGGTTTGTGAGACCAGTTTTTTTTTTTTTGCATCGGTCATAATATGAATATATGAAGATGTATTTGAACTAAATTGCTGGGGAAAAAGTCTGAGGTTTTAATAGTTTTAAAGTTGCCCCATGCTCTCACAGCAGACAAATGTGTCAATGTGTTGCTTACAACCGGTAAATACATTGTTGTAGCAACTGTCTCCTCGCGCAGCTCGTTATTTACAGACCCACGAACTAAATTAAACTGCAGCTCGTGTCGCATTGAGGGTGTTTTTTTTTTTTAAATATCTCTGTGAGTCTTAATTTGAGTGTTGCTAAACAGGAGAAGTGTCGGTTAGCCCTGTGGAGACAGTTATGTAACGCTACACATGCTGCACACTGTGGGGCTTCAATGTTACTGCAGCGCTAAGCTATAGTCTGGTGCACCAAACTGTGCGCACTCTGCGGGGTTTTTACACTTTTCACATTCAAATAAACATGCGAATGAAACTTTGTCACCACCGTGCAATCATGTACTTGTCTCCACTGTACGGCTCGCTCTTCCAGTTCATCTGCCTTTGAGACCAGTTTTGCAAAAGATAGCAGTGTGCCTCTGCTGGTATGGATGAAATGATAATAAGGGCTGCAACTACTGATTATTATGATTATTTATAATGACAATCATTAGTTGCAGCCCTTGTTATCATCATATCATCATAATAATGTATCGTTATTTCTTGATTAATTAATCAATTATTCAGGCTATAAACTAAACACTGCCCATCGCAGTTTCTCAGAGCCTGAGGGGGCGTCTTCAATTAGTTTTGTCAGATCAACCACAAAGATACATACACAGTGGCATGAAATAGAAAAAAGAATATCCTCATATTTGAGAAACAGGAACCAGAGAACTTTTGTTCAATAATTCACTTAATCAACTATGAGAATTATTTGCATCAGCTCTCATAACAATACTGAGACTTGTACTATGAATAGTAATACATATCCTTCATCCCCCTCTACAGCGTCCAAACACAGTTGCATCATTGACAGACGACGACTGACAACTTTTCTCTGAGTAAGTCTTGCGCATTTAAATCAGTTTTACATTGAATTAATCAGAGATGCTCTCTTGAGTATCGCCTTCTGCTGCATGTTTGTTTTTTTTGTATTTTTTGTAAAGCCGGTTCACCTTGAAACATAAGTGATGTAAATGAAGTGTGAAGTTTGTTTGGTAGCATGTGAGTACAACAAATAATGTGCACTCAGGTTTACTCGTGTTGGCCCATAACAGTGCACATGCTCTGTATGTTTAACCACACTGGATAAGGGACATTCTGTGTGTGTCTGTGTGTGTGTGTGTGTGTGCTGGCGTTACATGTGAACTTGCATATACTACAAACAAACCCCAATATTACACTTCTTCTTGATTACCACAGGCATATTTTGCTTTCCCCCCCGTGTTGTTGTGATGAGCCGGTAAATAGCACCCTTCTGTCCACATCAGGATCTTTTAAAAGATTTACACTTCACTGTGTAACCAGAGCCTCATCGAGACCACAGGCAGCTTTAGTTATCTGCCCTTGCTGGCCTGAAGGTTAAAGGCCAATCATGGAATGGGAAATATGATGGGTAGGGGCGGATCATGTTTGTGGGTTTGTGACCTGCAAGTTCATAGGTTCAGTGTTTTCCTATTTAGTGAGTGCATGCTCTTCAGCTGGTGCAGCACAACAACACGCCATGCAGCAGGGGAGTGTTCTTTATGTACGTGTTTCCTTTGTCTCTTTATTTGTGTTTGCATGAAGTGAACAAGCGCCTGTGTTGCAGAGGGTTTAAATGCCCCAGCGGCTGCCCGGGCACATCCGTAGGATGGTTTCTGCATAAATGGAACGCTGCAGTGGATTAATGGGGAAGGGCTGGCGAGCCGACAAGCAAGCAGCACAGGGTCGACAGGGCTGAGAGGCTGGACGTGGGCGCACAGGGTTTATTTTAAGTAGAAATGCCTTCCAGTGAGTCTCTGGAGAGCTGGAATTGCCAAGCTGCACCCCAGTACACTGAATAGACAGCAGACGCATTGCAGGAGAGCGAGCCAACTATGCAACAGCTAGGCTCAATGATACTAATACTAATGCTGGGGGAGCAGCTATTCACTGCTCTGTGTATCACATTGTAGCCCCCCCCCCCCCATAAGCCTTTCCACATGGTTTTTTGAAACAGCGTGTCAGGACAGACTCGATGTGCACCGTGGAAGCAAACACCCACATGTCCAAAGGTGTAACTGAGAAGAGACATTAGAAGCCAGTGTTTCTGAGCACAGTAAAAGCTCCTTTACATGGTTATGATTTCCAGATTTCCTGAATTTCGTTGCTACTTGAGGCCAGTTTTTTTTTCTATTTGCACGGAAATTGTCACTAAATGTCGACCTCAGCATTGACGTTTAGCTCGCAGCCTGAGGTGAGGAACAGGACTGAACACACAGCACGGTGGAGACACTGGGGCTTGTTTAATCAGCAAGCGTGTGCTCGACGTGGAGCAGATGAGGAAACATCAGAGGACAAAGTATGACAACCACACGTTACGTTAAAAAAACCACGATTGCTTCAACAGGCGGCATTATATCAGACTTTCAGGACTTGGTTGGCCAATATCTTATTGTCAGGGATTGCGCATATCTTGCCTTGGATCTGTCATAAACGTGAAGTCCATACATTTGAAATGTCTGTTGTCTGCATTTTGATTCATTTATTCCATGTCTGAGCCAAGAGAAAAAAAAGCTCAGAGCCAAACAAAGTCTAATCGTGATTTACAACGTGAAGAAAAAAAAATTTGTAACAATATAATAATTCAACCAGGACCACCCAGATGCAGAATACAGATGTGCGACTGTTTGAATGGCATGAAGCAGGCCGAGCAGGAATCCAGCCAATGATCACATAGTAACGTTTGAATGAAGGCAGCCACAGTCCTCGTGCATATCTGCAGGTGCTTTGTGCTTCGATTTGCCTGAACAATGTTTTCACTCTCAGGCTGAAGTCTACACAATAAAAAATGCAAAAGTTAAACTACCCGCTCTCTTGTGTAACTTTGATTACCTTCTGCATGCATTGTACTTCAAGCTTGCTCACTGCTGAGACATCCAATCTGTAATTGTGAGGGGAAATTAGGCTGGCTCATTACCGCTGCAGCTGAGGGTCTCATCATCATTGACGATATTGCAAGGTCAAATGCTGGTAATCGCGTTGAATTGCTTTGGGAAGGTTTAGTTATCTTCACAGGAGGAGTCGTGAAAGGTTCCTTATATCTGCGGCAGCTGTTTAGCCTTTAAGAACTGCCAAAAGAGAAATGAAAGCTGAAATGAAAAGAGATCCTGTTTTCTGTTGTGATAATCACTTCCACTCCCACACACCGTCACCACTGAGTCTAATGGCCAGAGATGACCACCGTACGATCCGAACAACAGCCATTATTACCGTCTCTTCCCCTCTCATGCCCGTGTCTTGTCCCTCCAATGAAAATATAATGAGGGGGGTTCGAGGAATGCCGATGCTGTATATTTGGACTGTCCAAAACTGTCCTCAAGGATAGTCGGTGCCAAATTCCCCTGGTTTCCTCAGAGGATTGCGAAAATGCTGTAACTCAACACACACAGCCTGACTGAGTGCAGACGGTAATGATGATCGCCGAGACCTTGGCCAGAGATTGAGCGAGCATGCCTTGGCCCGAGCCTTCGCGCTCATTGTTCATTTTCAGCGCTGTAGACGCCGTTTAAAAGAGTTTTGCAAGATGCTGGTGTGTGTGTGGGCCGTGCAACGCATTATTAGTCCAAAAATTAGACTTTAATAAAGTGCACTGACAAAAAGTGGTCAAATGGAATCTTGGAAAGTGTGCGCGTCTTTCCCATAATGCTCCCGATGATCCAGTGATTTAAAGTTGAGTGGTCTGGCAGCACAAAGATTTAACTTTGTATCTCAAGCAAAGATAAATTAGCAAGAATATACTTTTAAACCCTGCTTGCCTGTCTCCAAAATGACTGCGGCTGGTAGAGGTCGAATGTTAGTGGGCTCCTTTTTAAAAAAAGCAGCAGTCTATGAAGGTAATGAGTGGCCTTTGAAAACCCCCTGTAACCCCCCACCTTCACCGTCTCTATAGGGGACGAGGATAATAGGGCCTCCAGTCCTGCTGCAAGCTATTGGTGAATGGCTGAATTCCTCCACACTGTTAATTGGTCTCAGGAATGACACAGGAAATGGACACATTTGGTTGAGCCGAAGACAGATAGAGTATGTGAGCAGAGAAAGCAGCCAATTGTAGATGTGTGGAGTATCGGGCACACTGACTGCCTACACATTACATATAGGAACCCTCACATGAGCATGAGCGCACGCACACACACACACACTCTTCACACACACCTCCAGCTATCTACCGCTCACATGCAGTTCGATTAGTGTTGGGCTGAAGCCAGAACCTGCGTAGAGTATACGCCCCTATACTTCATACTTAATAAATGACATTTCCCCCTCCCCGCCGCTTGGCTTCAGCTCGTCTCCTCTCAGTCAGCCCTGAGAGGCAGCCGCGCTGGGCTGTGTAGGTGTCTTTGTTTGAGGCTAGTGTGGGCCTAAAAGCTGTGGCGCTGGCCTTTCTGCTCCACTGCAAAAGCACAGTAACCACGTTGCATCATCAAACGCTGACCACTAATCCTCGGCTGCAGGCTGCTGCCGACAGAAAAAAAAAAAAAAAAGAGAAAAATACCCCTCTTTTGAAAAATGTAAAAAAAATCACTTTTGACTCATGCTTTTGGGTATAATTACACGGAGCGGGACATGAATCAGCAAACTTTCCCTGTCTTGTACAGATGATGCTTCTTGAGGCTTTCATGTCTCAGGGCTTGACGGGGTGTTAAGTTTGCAAGGGGGGATTTCAACACACTTGTGTGGCAGGTTGAAAGAGACGGAACAGCTCGAACATAAAACAAACTTTCTACTCGACTTAAAAGTCACACCAACTATTATGTGTTTGAGTTTACAGCTGCACTTGAAGTTTTTCTCTCATAATTGAAGGCGTCTTGCGTCAGACATCATTTGACCTTTTTGTTTGGAGGCCGCAAGTAAAACTACTTCTAAGGGTTATTTTGATTTGTGTGATCTGATGTCATGTAGAGAGAGATTTTATGTATGTTCATGTGCTGAAGTATTTCTGCGTGTGTGTTGAAGTCTGGTCTCGGGCTGCATGCTTCGACAAGCCATTGTAAGGAATGGGGGCTTTCCTTGAAATATGTCTGACTGAGGAGGCTTGCATTACAAAGTACTGTATACAAGCCAGTCTGATAGGCATACAATATCATTATTCCTGGACTGACTTCTTTTTTTTTGTGTGTCAATTTCCATTGAAAAAAAAAAAAAAAACGTGTTTGTCCAGCGCCGAGCCTAACTTGAGTCTGTAAACTAGTACCGAGTGTCTGGCCCCGCTCCATTTTGGCTCTGAAAGCGATTTGCTCAGTCATTCCTAATGGGTGCTTCAGTTTCCTGTGGCTGTTCTCTCAGCCCAGGGGTTAGTTTGCATCGCATCTTTTGAATTCCGGCACGGTTACTGGTCAGGAATGAGCAATGTCTTTTATCACAAGCCATCCGATCTGATGTGAAACTTAAGACCATAATCTAATAGTCTAAAGACTTTAAAGTAAACGCAGTGGTTCAGTTACTTCAGCCCAACAACCATCAGCCTATTTGAGAGCTCTCCTTCTCAGTCACCCCCCTGGATTAGCTGCCATATGGTTTGCCTTGTTCTTAGACAGCCTATCTGCAGAGAGAGAGAGAGAAGGCCTTGGCACCTTCCATTCCTCCACCTCTCCCGGGGGTTTGTAAGAGTAAGAGTAAGAGTAAGAGTGAGAGTGAGAGAGAGAGAGGGAATTTTGTCTGAGGGATTTTTTTTTTTACCAGGGCTGTCTTGTTCTTTTCCTCTCCAGCAAAAACAACAGGCTGCTGCCAAGTGCAGTGTAAATGGGAGTATACATACAGTGGGAGAGAAGGAGGCAGGGCGAAGAGGGAGGGAGGGGGCAGCCGGGATTTAAATAATAAAATGCCTCATTGGACAGTGGCTCCACACACCAGCTTGTCCTTGGAGCGAATAAATCATGCAGACTGGAGGCGGTAAGGAACAGGTCAAAAGCAGCGTGGAGGTGTGACACGCTTGACAGTCGATGTACTGTAATGCTCCGTGTTTGTGGTAATTAGTATGCAGATGCAACAGTAATAAATAACCCTCACTTTGTGCCCCTACAGATTGTTAAACTTAAGAGGTAAATCTTACGAGTTATAATGTAGACGAGACGGTAATACAAATGAAATGAAAGCATTATGTGACAGATGTAGCTCAGTCTAAATTATGCAGCAGAGAAGAAAGGCTATTGGAATTCAATCCCTCTCGATACAAGTGGGCTGATTTGGTTTCCACCATGCTCGACAGTAAACTCCAGTCCAACTGTAAAAACACTGTGAGACCAGCCCATAACCAAGGAGGAGTACATTAGAATAGAGTTACAAAACCTTGCTTTTTTTCATTAGCTCCTCTGTGACTGTTGTAATAGAGCGAGTCTTTTCAGCCCCGCAAAGGAGAGCAGCGAAGAAAAACAACAACCTGGTTTAACTTACAATACGGTCGGCCTGTCAGCTAGTCACCCACCAGCAAAGTCAGCTGTTTCCGAACCACCTCACAATACTCGTCTTTGTTGGTTCCATATGAGAGGGGCTTTGTTCCAAACATGTGGAGGTTCAGCTACTCACGAGGCAAATGTGATTCAAGATGTTAACGTAGAAGTCACACCGATATCATCAATCTTTTTTTAACAACTCCTTGTAGCTGTGCGTTGTTTGGGTAATCCTAGCCGACAGTCTGTCAGCTTGCCAAAGTTATTGAAGTATCAGTTATTCTTTCGTATCAGTCATGCAGGTTTTTTTTGTTTGTCAATAACTAAATTTGATCCACAAAGAGTTTCTGTTTCTATTCAGTGTAACATTTCATCAGCAGAAAATGTGTAATTTGCCTCGACTACCCATCTTTTACCTAACTGGACATTTTATTCTACTGCATTTACTGTCGGTACATAAACACTGAACAGCAAGAGAAACAATTTCAGACTTTTCTAGAATTAACTGGTCTCACTCTGCAGGGATGGGCAGAGCCGGCTCGTGTTTCACTGTTCCCATCTGTAACATTTGTTTTTTATTTGGCCCATCAGAAGTTTTCCAACTCTTGGTCGAACAGTAATTAGAGAGACTTCTTAATTCTCCAGCCACTTCCTTTCGGCCTTTTTCTCCCCGCTGTACCTCATTCCTCCCTGATTACATTAAGAAGTGCTGTGGTAAACCCCCTTTTAAACAACCTAAAACTGTTGAAAGAGGGTGGCAGTGGAATGCCCGAGCGTTACCCGCTCCCTCTCGACACGAGTGCTTTTGATACCCTGTGAATCGTTTTTTACGAAAACCCGAATGAACATTCAGGATGAAAACCACTCGATAAATTATAAGACGTCTAAGTGTAGAAAGTCTTCATTTCATGTGATCATTCCAAAGGGTTTCGTGGCTTCTCTTCGTGTGTGAAACTACAGAGATGAGCGTGTCGCTGCTGACAGTGAGAAGTTTGTTTTTTCGCCGGCTGCTGACTAAGAAGATAACACAGCTGTCAAAGCTGTCAACCTTTGAACGCATTCTTGGAAACAGCAACCCCGTACTTAAAAGATGTTTGATGACAAGGACTGAAGACAGCAAATTAATCTTTTTGTGGATGGAATGCCAACACCGTAAGATCATAGCAAACATAAGAGATACTGTCAGAGGACTGCAACATGATAAGGAACGTTATAAATGTACAGCTCATGTTACGACAAGAGAATAGAAGAATGAGAAGAAAATCGATACAACCCCCCCCCCCCGCCCCAAAAAAAAATACAAAAAGAGAGATCTAAACTATGAACTATACGCAATAAAAAGAAGAATATTTAAATGTTTGTGTACACTTTGCTTTTTATGTACTAATAACGTTACATTTTCGGTTCTCCAGCGCTTATCGTTCCCTTCCTCTTTTCTCTCTCTCCCCCACAGCAGCGGTGGTGGCCGAGTCGGACATGATGCCGGGACAGATCCCTGACCCTTCGCTGGCGGCGGGCTCCCTGCCCTGCCTGGGCCCGCTGGCGGGCATCTCGGCCACCACGCTCACCGATCAACTCAAGCTGGCGGACTTCCACCAGCTGGGTACCATGCTGTCCCCGCTGCACTTCCTGGGGAGGCTAGGGAAGAGGCCGCTGGCCATCAAGACCGAGGTGAGGAGGGAGAGAAAAGAGGAAGTGTGCAGTGGCAGGGTGTGAGGATGTACATCAGAGGGTCACAGAGGGTCAGAGAGGAGAAATGACATTATGCAACGCCCGTTTCTCACATTGACAATACATTGTGTTTTGCAGATGGATGAAGATGACGATAGGAGGAAACGGAGACGAGAGAAAAACAAGGTAGCAGCAGCGCGATGCCGAAACAAAAAGAAGGAACGGACCGACTTCCTTCAAAGGGTGAGTTCACGACACTGCAAACATACTGAGAAGCAGAAGCAGAGCAGCTAGGAGTGGCAGCACCAAAAATAGCCCGACTACAAGTTAACCCGAACAGCTGATTTTGGCCATTCAACCCAACTCGGAGCTAACACGAGGTTTACACTTAGAAGTGCTCTGAATAATGTATCTGCCTTGTAGTTTCTAATAATTCGACTTCTCCGTCCAGGAATCAGAGCGTCTGGAGATGGTGAACTCCGACCTGAAGGCCCAGATCGAGGAGCTCCGTATGGAGAGGCAGCAGCTAATGGTGATGCTCAACCTCCACCGGCCCACCTGCATCGTGCGGACCGACAGTGTCAAAACACCCGAGAGCGAGGCCAACCCGCTGTTGGAGCAGCTGGCCGACGACGCCAAGTGAAACCAGGAAACACCGGGGGACGCAGAAAGTCCCTGACGCAAAGTGCCAGCCTTTTTTTAAAAAATAAAAACATAACTGGCAATACGTTTCTAAACAAGCACTTGAGCTCCAAGCTGAAGACTTTTGGAGACTCTGCCCAAAGACCTGAGGTTTGTCGGGCTTCCTTAGTACTGCTGCATGGAGCTGGCTCTGTCCATTGGAAGACTGGAAATACCCAGTTTCATCTCCGCATTAAGTGTTGTTGTTGACACCCGCTGTGCCTAGTTGTGACTTCAACCATCTCTACATAAAAAGGGACCAATGTAAACAGTAGAGTACGACTGGAAACAACGCTGAGGAAACACACTAATATCAATATGGTGCTCTGTTACAAAAGCCCTGAATAGATTGTGTGGCATTGTTTCAATGCAGAGGCTTAGTGTTCTGCAGCTTTTTTTTTTTTTGTATGCTAGCCAACATATACCGGTGTAGAGTTTTTAGGATACAATGCTCAATACAAGTACACCCGACGGAGTTTTTTTTTTTTTTTTTGTAATGTTGATTTTTATACTCTGCCTCGACGATGGCAGTAACCGGTTGATCCGATTTGTGGTGACGCTGGCGTCATGAAAAGCACATATACACAAAATGTTTACACTCGTGTTTTTTGGACGTGTTGTCTGTCCATTATTGTACTTGTTTTATACTGCTTTGTATACATAAACATATATGAAATGCTTGTTAGTCACTTGATGTGATTTATCCTTTTCCCGATCTGTCCAGTCTGTGTCTGTCACGTTGTGCTGTCAAACAGCTGTGAAAACAAGCAGAACTCTTTTCAGATGAGCAGTAATCCAGAGTCTGTTCTGGGCCTGTACCTGCTATGTATGATCTGTTACCATGAATAGATTAAAATTTATTTTCTAAGTACAAGGAAGGGCACGTCTTGTTGTTTTTTTGGATTACAAAATCAGACGTGCAACAATCTCAAGTGTTTTTCAGTGAAATTAGTCAAAGTCCTTGTGTTTGCTCCTCCGAGTCATAACAGCAGATCTATCAAGTGACAGAAGTTGTGCAATCGTGTTTCTTCAGCTGAGGCACATTGCCAAAATCGGGGCTTTACTTTCATTTGCAAAACTCACAACGCAATTACTTCTTCAAGGCTTGATTATCGCTGCATTATTGCAAATTTGAAAGATATTCTTACTTTCTTTAAAGCTTTAAGAAAGATCTTTCTCTCATTGTTTTAATTATCATTGAATTTAATTATTTAAACCCGTCCATGCCTTGATCTTAGTTCTTTAGAGAACACATACTAGCACCGTTTATATTATAATGTACTTACACTGGTCAAAATACTGCTGAAGGAGGACAACAGAACCTCACCTACTCTGATGAAATATTATTTTAGACAGCAGTAAAGGTTAATATCCTAAAAATTATTTTGTATTCACCACATTCATACTTTATTATTTTACTCTTATTATTTGGATGGAGCTAAATAAGAACATAAAGTTAGCTTTTGAGCGGGTATTGTCCTGAGTGATATCTACTGTATGCAGGCCTCAAGTCACACTGCGGTCAACAGCGCCATCTAGTGGAACCTTCTGTGAACTGCATGATTTCTAGTCCGATAAATCAATTTGACTTCACAATACTGGTCAGATACTATAAAGACAAACGTAACGGCTAATATTTACATATCCGTGTACTTTTCAGCCGTTATATCCTTCGAAGATATGAGTAAGAACCGTTGGTTTGCTCTGGTTAAACCCTCATCTTTCTTTTAACACGTTACACTTGAGAAAGTGACAAAACTCGCTCAGGTAAGCTGCTGGTTTCTCTATTCTGAACAATAAAGAAAGATTAACGTCACAGTTTAAGATGAAAGCGTTTTAAAATACGGATCCTAATTAGTTTTAAATGTATGTAAAGGTCCCCTCTTTAGACATTGGTCTGCTTAACTTGCCTCCGTGGTCGCACAACGCATGTTAGCTGCAAATATCGATTTGTAACTCGGTATCAAGTGAGTTTAAACGGTCTCGTACTGTATTTATATTTCGGCTCACACTGCAACAGAAAACCTTGAGTAAAAGCTCACACCTATCTCCTCGGATTTGGCGCAGGCGTAGTGCAGCTACAGGTGAGCTGGTGATGGATGACAGTGAGGAGGTCACCGAGGACCAGCGAGAGGAGGAGAAGCAGCCATCTGATCAGACGGGCCTGGCCACCGGAAACCAGGACCAGGCGGAGAAGCCCACCAAGGGTCAAGACAGTGGAGATGAGTGGGACACTGATCTGGAAACAGACAGTAGGTTCAAATAAACCATAAATTCATTGATAATAGATGCCTATAGTCTTCAACTCATTCACCTCTTTCTGCTGTCGTCCTCTTTTGTTGTTGTTTCTTTTAGATGACACCCATCAGAACCAGAGTTTGACCCGTTCAGAGCAGTACCTGCAGGCCTGTCGGCGGACGGGCTCCGTTCCCGTGTCCTCCTTCCTCCGTCTCTTGGGTGAAGCCAATCTCAACCTGAACCACTATGGGGTGGGACCGCTGGGAGCCAAAGCTCTGGCCATAGCTCTGCAAGTATGGCTTACATCTCTTCATCTATATTCACTATAATGACAGATTTTAGAACAATAATCACCAAAATTACAGTCATTTTTATTAAGTTATGGATGGGTTCAGGTAAGAGTTTGTTCCCTTTGTACATTTTTTATTGACGCTATAGCTGTGTACAGAGACAACATTTGTTTTTTCATGTTTTAGAATGACACTGACGTTACAAACCTTGAGCTGGAGGACAACGCACTTCAGGCCGAGGGGACACAGTATCTGATGGAAATGCTTGAAACCAACACGACCATCCAGAGTCTAGTAACTATTCTCAAACTATCGAATACATCCGTTCTCAACTGCAAGAGGAACGGCTCGTTTTTTAAATTTGATCGATTCTATTTATACTAATGCTCATTTCCGTCTCAAAATGACTGAATGTCTTCATGTCAGAATCTTTCCAACAACCAGCTGCACCTTGAAGGAGCAAAAAGCATCTCCAAAATGCTATCAGACAATTACTACATAACATCCATCAAACTCTCAGGTGATCAACCAAGTCTTTCACCCGTCAACACATTTGTATGTGCACCTCTGTAACACAATGGAAATAAGTGAGCTGGAACTAATTCAATTCATTTCCACTTCTTCACTTAGGCAATGATTTTGATGATTCTTCTGCTAAATGCCTTGCTGATGCTTTAAATGTTAGTACAAAGAGTGATCCGTTGAATCCATGCAAAAGAACATTTGAGCTCATGAACACATCCCATCGGATGAAAATTAGCTTACAGCTTCATCGTTTTCTTTTATTGTTAGGGTGACTACGTAGTCAAGGAGCTGGACCTCAGTCACAACCACATCTGTGGTACAGAAGGACAAAACCTGGGTGACATGTTAGGTACAGTAGTTCATCTCTGACTGTATTAAGAAAAGTATTTATCCCACAAAGCTCACACACACGATATAAACTAAAGCGATATTAAAGCTATTGTGCATATTTTTACACCTTCCAAAATAGGGTAAAACGTCGACACCGGTTCAAGTTTGAAATCGAATGCGACCTTTTACATTTGTTTCCTCTTTCTCAAAGCCACAAATGTAGGTATGGAAGTCCTAAATTTGAGCTGGAACCATCTGTGTAAGGACGGTGCTGTGGCTTTGAGTGCTGGACTGAAGGTGACAAACAGCCTTCGGTGTATATTCAACGGCCCGTTTCCCATCACAGCCGGTTTGTCACTCACATTTTCCTTTTCTTCTTCAGGGGAACTCGACTCTGAAGCAGCTCCAGCTGTCGTGGAACGGTTTTGGCCCCGTCGAGGCGGAGTCACTGGGTGAAGCGCTGAAACACAACAGCACGCTGGTGCTGCTGGACCTCAGCAGCAACCTCATAGACGATCAGGCGGCGGCGCTCCTCTGCCCGGGCCTGGCCACCAACGCCACCCTCAGGGTCCTCAAGGTGGGAATCGTGACGCACTGGTGTCGCTATGTTGCGTTTGATCGGCATCATTGCGATCTGTAAATTCATGCATGTGAAAAGTGAGGTTCGGTGTTTCTGTATTCTGTTCAGCTCTCCCATAACCCACTGACAAATATCGGAGCTCTGTCGTTGCTCAAAACAGTTACAGAAAACAAGAACTCAGCCGTGGAGGAGATGGATATTTCTGTAAGTGCATGAAAAACTATTTTCACCTCAGCATATGAATCTTGTCTGTATGTGAATATGTGATGATTTCATCTGTCCGCAGTACCTTTTATACATTCTGACCATGTGTGTGTGTGTGTGTGTCGCGCAGACAGTTTTTGTTTGTGAGACCTTTGTGGAGCTGTTGGGAGAAGCCCGTCAGAGGCGTCCTGGTCTGGATGTTCGGCACAACGTCATGAGCTCCGTCACCAGGAACATATCGGCCCTCCAGGTCTTTCAGGTGACTGGTCGGGAAGACAGAGACATCTGGTGACAGATACGTTTATAACTGGGATACTAACAAGACTGCGTTTAAGCAAAAATTGTCTAAAGCATCTTAAAAAAAAGGGATATCTTCTGTGCATGTGTACTCATGAAACATGATCCGGTTTCTTCCCTAGAAATTCCTTGCAGAGCGAAATGAGAGCATCATGGACTTCTTCCAAGTGTTGGATAAAGAAGGAACCAAGAATGTCCCCACCTCTGCCTTCAGGAACGCTGTAAAGGTCATCATATATTCATATATATCATTAATAAGTACAACAAATCTATCACAGAAAAAGTACTTTGAAGCTGGTCTGAAGTATTCAGATATTCACTATTGTATGGATGAGCAATGGAGCAGATGATGTTGTCGTGCGTGCAGGAAGCTAATGCACCTCTGGATCAGCGGCAGCTTGAGTGGTTGATCAAGAAGTTTGATAAGAACTGCACAGCCACCATCATCTACAGGTTAGTCTGTGAACGGGTGTACGTAGCATCGTATTAGTCGTCCATTATTTACCATAACAAGTACTGTTTATGCGAGTCAGGAAGAAACACAAACCATAGTAACTTTTTCCATTAAAAACAATCCTAACTCAAGGTTCACTTACAAGCTTTTTGTAGAGCTTGTAAACAGAACTCCTGGTCTTCAGTGCATGGAGTTTGCTCCGTTGTCATCTCTCTTCGTTGCAGTCAATTTGCCGAGCTGTCATAGACGCAGAGACGTACGGCACGCTGAGGAGGATTAGGTAGACGTCTTCAAATAAAACTGAATTCGTATTTGATTGTGTTCTTTATATGCTAGCAGTGGGACTTTGCAAATTCAGTACGTCCTTTTTTTTCACCATTACAACTCTCAATTTCACATTTTTTTGCAAAAATAATTTTAGCATAATTAGAGATACTCAAAAGGAGGTTCGACTGACCTCACAAACCCAATGGTAATGTGCACCACTGACAGGTGTATCCTAATAATATCCCCTCCCCTCTCCTTCCACCGTGGTCCTTAGCTCAACCTAATTCTGTGCGGCATGAATACTTGAACCTCTGACACCAACCAGCTGCACCCACCTGAGCACCGCCAGCGGCTGGGCCACAGGGTCCTCTGCCTCATTCTCTCCGTCCAAAAATAATCTTCTGGTATGACAACAGAACAGAGGAGGAAGAAGGAGAGCGCTGGCGTCCATATCAAAGGAGCGAGAGGAGAAAAAGAATAGGGCCAGATGCAAGCTAGTTGTTTTCGCCACACTGGTTAGCTTTGAATGAAGCGGCCCTGTAAAGGAAACGGCACCGTTATGAATATGCATCAGCTTATGCAGGCCCTGCAGAGTGGGTTTATTAAGGGGGAATTGTCTCAAGGTGCGATATCCCACAGTGCATTTTGTTTCCGTCTGGTGGCTCCAGCGGTAACCACAGAGGAGACAAAGACAGGACGCACCGTCTCACCCGCACCTCTTCATTGACTTGTGTGTAAATGGCTTGACACCTAATATTGTGGGTCACGAGGACACGGGACAACTCGTTTAAACTAACATCCCATTTCATTTAGATATGATCATATAGTTTTCCTCAAAGGGATTTTGTGAAGACATGTCTGTTGTTCGTATGTGAAATGTTGAAACTAGTGCTTAACCTGATGTGAGCACGGCCCGTCTCCTTGTTCCTGCGTCTCAATAAAAAGCCGAGGCAAAGAAATGAGTCATCTTAAATTCCTCCCTCATCCTTTTATTTTAATCAAATCAAACACTTTAATTTCCTCCATGTTTGTCTCAACTTCCTCTCCGCATCCTGACTTTGTCCCTCTCTTCCGTCTCATTCACCCACTGAAAAAAATAAAAATAAATAAATAAAATCAGACCATCGTGCACCGTCTGATTTTTAAATATACTCAGACTTGCAGTGTAAATGACAGTAGTGGTGGATGAACAGTAGGAATACAGGTTATGAGCGGTGTAGTTACTTTCAAGATAACTTGAACTACAGTATGAAACAAGTAAGAAATAACTTCATACAACAACTTTGTGGTATTTGAAGAGTTTACACTACACCGGCAATCTTGTAAATTCACACCAGCAGATAGATTTGAATAATGTTGATTAAAAAAAAGTTTCATCGCATGTGCACAAGATATTAACACCGAATATTAGTAGAACATTTGTTGTCTGGCTCAGAGAGAAGTGTGGAAAATTCAACTCTACGTCAACTAGATTATTCAGAAACGATAGAATGATGAAGGACTCCAAACTCACCTTATCTTCTCTATAGCCTCTCGTGGTAAACAGTGAGTGGATCCTTCTCATAACCAGCAGTAACGTATGAGATGCGAGTCCTGGCTGGGGGAGTTTTACTCTCCTTCATGGAACTGGAACTCCTGCCGCTATTTCATGCTTTTCTGTTCATATCCGACTAGAGTCCAGATAATAACAATACACCTAATGCCGTTATGCTTTTGGTCCATTTGTTGCTGGAAAAGCTGTTGCGATTAATTTGGCCCCGACTGCATTCATGAGGGATGCGTTCAGAATGATCAAACTCACGTAAAACCCACAACAGGATGTTAGTTAGAATTAGTTGGTACATGCTTACGAGGGTTATTCATTTGACTAAATGTGTGATGATGTAGAGCACATCAAAGCCTTTACTCTTTAAGTGTACATGGTGTACTCAATGAGTTTAAGTGTAAACTTAAACTCAAAGTACACTTTTGTTCCCCCAATTGGACTAAAACACAATTCTTTATATAAAATTGATATAATTAGCGATTTAAAAGACAGGAAAAAAAATAAGAGAATAATTTAGGTAAATGATCCCTCTGATGTGGCTTAATGAAAACAAACAGCTAGCTGCCAATTTCTAATGGGCCATCTTTCATGCGAATGGACACAAAGACTTAAACCCCCACACATCTTATCGAGCAGCGCAATTGGAAATTCACAATTTTGGCCAAATTTTGAAGACGAAACAAAAAACCTGCCAACAAACCCTTCAGATATCTATGCACCCACTGGCACAGGTTGCCAATTAACATGATCTCGAAAGCGCTAATGGAATCTTGAGCGGTAATAAAGTAAATAATTAAATTAAAAGGGACCCTTGTATCATTGTTTGCTGTATTCAGGCCCATTAGGACCTCCAGTATTCTCATGGTAATCTAATGTTTTGTTTTTTTTTTTTGTGTTCTCATAATGAATTCTGTGTTTTTTTCCTACAAACAGTGTTGTTCAGACATTTGTGTAGGTGCTGGCAGAGAAACAAAGACGTACATCGGGACCCTTTGTCCCCTGTGATTATTAAAGTAAACAGAAATACTGAAGGGGCATCGCACACAGCTGCACACACTTGAGCCTGTGTTTGTGAAGTGGGAGAAAAGGGCCAAGCAACCCTGAAGACTTCGTCAGGGACCATCCCATTATTTGGAGATTCTCAAGGGCCGAGCGGCGGGCCGGCTGATGAGGCTTTGAAGATCGGTCTTACGGCACAGAATTCATCACCAGCAGAGAATTTCGGGGAGCAAAATAAGAGTTGGCACGAGATAAAATGCTTCAGCCAAGACCGGCCGTGAAGACCGTCCCTGCCTCCGCCTTGTGCTTTGATTAGGACATCGATATCATCTTTGAGTTTGTTCTTAGAGGGTGAGGCTTACGGTGAAAAGTTCAGTTTCTCTTGTTGTGCTATTGCCATTGTTTGGTCTTCAGACATTTTCAGGAAACACATAAAATGCTCATCATGAGCTCAATAAGACACATTCAAAGGTCTTGTGTTGTGTGAATAACGATATTCACAACCCAAAGAGATTCAATGTAAAATCATACAAACTAAACTAAAGCAGGAAACTGGAACCGTAAGACTTTAAATATTCATTGATGATCTAAATCGTTAGCAATCAATGGATTAGTCACTTGATAGAAAATGAGTCAACGTAATGTTTCAACTCCAGTAAACCATCGTTTGAAATACAGCATGTACAAAGTCTGTGAAGTAAATGTGCAAGACAGATTCAGTAAAGAAAACTCTTGAGATGTTTGATGTTTAAAATTGTTTCTTTAAATAGAGACAAGTTTTTTTTTTTTTTTTTTTTTTATATATATATATATATATAATGAAAATCTCAACATAAAAACCTGCTGCTGCCAAATTGTGCTTTTTGAACACGATTCCCAACATATTGAAGTGTTTTGTACAGTTTGAGTGTTTTTTTTTTTTTTACTAAGAACTCGTAGTAGTTTAATCAACATTTCAAGACTTTGATGGTCAAAGAATCTGCGAGGCAGATTTAAAGCAAAATCAAAATGATACAGGACACGGACAAATATGTTCTATACAAAAAGCCCTATGTCCCAGTCACCGGTTCCCTTTTCCTTGCTAGCAAACCAAGAAATTCTTTCAATCCCGTGTTAACATTAAAACATCTTGAATTAATTTGTGTGCGCTCCGCTTGGCCCGGCTGTGGGAAAAAGGGGCTAAAAAGGGGGCAGCGACTAACGAGCAGGGGAGAAAGTCACGCAGCCAAATGCTGCCTGGAAAAGCCATTTAGTTTTACGATTGCACCAATGTGACAAGGATGCAGCGAGTGTTTATCTACTGCCTCGTATTTTCACCTGAAGAGCTCACGGGTACAACAACACACCCATGTGAGAGTTATCTTCAACTTTTTAAGCCCGTGTGCCAATTTCTGTCCAAATACGTGTAACGTAAATGTGAGTAAATTCAAATGTAGCAAAAACAATAACCGACAGAAGATGGCAAGCAGTCTCTACAGATAATACCACGTATTTAAGCTCGATATGAGTGCGTCAACTCAACCTCGTTATACCCGAAAGGTCTGACTGAACATTTAAAGGGGACAGCAAAAGATTTATTTTTTTTTGTACGACTTGTGCGTGTTTTGTGACGTGGAGTTCGTTTTATGCAGCTTTAAATACAAGTAATGTGGTGGTAGAAACATCACATGTCCAGAAGCAGCACGCGGGGATCTTCCACCACCGCTTTGATCTTGCGTAGGAAAGTGACCGCTTCTCTGCCGTCAACCAGTCGGTGGTCGTACGTCAGCGCTATGTACATCATGGGCCGGATCTCAACCTGCAGAAGCAAAAAAAGGAAGTTTGGAATTTGGAAAAGCAATAGATCCATATCAGTATGTCAGATCATTGAAACAATGTTTCTTCGTCCATGGACACGCAACGCTCACCTTGCCATTGACGGCCATGGGTCGGTCGAAGATGCCGTGCATGCCCAGGATGGCAGACTGTGGCGGGTTGATGATGGGCGTGCCGAACATGGAGCCAAACACGCCACCGTTGCTGATGGTGAAGGTGCCTCCGTCCATGTCTTCAACAGCCAACGCGTTGTTACGAGCCTGAGGCACACAACACAAATGGCTCTCTCATTAAGTAGATATTGGTTTAATCAAAATTGCATTGCAGTCTAAAATGATCTGGGACACCTATTGCATCTTTTTACCTTTTCTCCCAACGCATTAATGGTTTTCTCAATGTCAGCGAAGTTCATGGTCTCCACGTTGCGGATCACCGGTACAACAAGCCCCTAAACAAACACATATGTATTCACTGTTACCCAGAATTCAGCAGCAACAGTTTTTAACACAAAAATGTAAAGTTTTATCGGAGCAAAAGTCCTACCTTTGGAGTAGCCACAGCGACGCTAATGTCTACATAATCCCTGTAGACGATCTCTTTGGTTGAATCGTCAATAACTGCAGGAAAACAACGGGGAGAAAGTTTAGAAAAACACACATAAAAACTATAATACTTGGCTCAGTTTAATTTTAAGAAAAAGATAAAAACAGTGGAAGTAAGCCAGCGTCGTCTTACCGGCATTGACAGCAGGTTGGTCAGTCAGAGCGTGAGCAGCAGCCTTCACAAACGCCGACATGAAACCCAGTTTGATGTTGTGCTTCTTTAAGAAAGCATCCTTATAGATTGTCCTCATGTCCTGAATGTTGCTGAAGCATAATTGAGAAGGTGTTAGAGCATGTGTTCAGTGAGGAGACGCATTTTAATCTGTGGAGTCAAATACATCCGATGATTGTAAATGAGACGGTGGCGTGAAAAATGTCACACTTGAACTGTGAGCCGGGTTGTTCAGTACGGAGGCTTGTAGTCCTAACTAGCTAAAGTTCAGACCAATGTAAATACTATGAAGACAGTTGGAACAATCCGTTGAGGAGCTGCGGCTCACCCCATGTCCACCTCATTGAAGGTGGTCAACATGGCGCAGGTGGTCTGAGCCTCCTTTAGCCTCTGGGCAATCCTCAACCTCATACGGTTCATCTTCACCTGGACAGAAGAACAAACTTCACTGTTTCTAATATTAATGTCATGAAAGAAACAAAACATGCAACATAAAAAGTGTGTCTGCAGCAGGTGTGTTACCCTGTTTTCTCCTCTCCCTGCTGATGTTACAGGAGCTGGTGCTGCAGCCGTGAGCTTGATGGCAGAAACTTGATGAAGGTGGAAAGACAGAATGTGACAATAAGAGCCAGACACAGTGCTGGTGGCCTACTCAGATACATCCCGCACAGTTACATTAAACAAATGCTTTCTGCAGAATGTGTATTCATATGATAAAGAAAGGAAACACACCAGGTTTGGCTTGTGCAGCCTGTTGTGGCACTGGAGGCACTGGAGGCATTGCAGTGGGAGCTGAAGCTGGAGGAGGAGGAGGAGGTGCTGCAGCCGGTGCCTCTGCTGCTGGGGAGGAAGCAGCTTTGGCAGGAACAGCTGTGGAAACACAAGTAAAAGAAGGACACATGTAGTACGAGTGTAATGATTCACAACTATCACATCAGACGTCAAGTATCAAAAATGTACTGTTTTGGTAATGGTCCTGAAACTCGGGTATCACACCGCCTCCGCCTTGTTTACTTCAGTGATAGAATGATAACTAAGCTCACCTCCTTTCTGGAGTTTGAAGAGGGGCATTCCTGGTTCTACCCTTCCTCCATCGGGCACCAACAGTTCCTCAATTACACCAGCTGCTGGAGCGGGGACTTGTACCGAGGTCTGAAAGTAGTAAAGTAAAGTTAAGAAGGAATAAATAAATACCAGAGATGATTTTAGGGTTGATGGTCTTTCTTGTTCATACCTTGTCAGTCTCAATTTCACACACCACTTCATCTTCATTCACCGAGTCGCCCACCGCTAAAACACAATTAATGAAAGCACTTGGATTTGATTTTGCAGAAATATGATTACTTTAAACATTTGGCTCATTGGTAACAGGATATATAATAGCAACAATTTACCTGAGATATGCTGACTCACCTTTCTCCCACCTCACATCCCCCTCTGAAACAGATTCTGCAAATGCCGGCGTTTTGACCGTGACAACCTCATCCCCTGTACGAAAGAAACCAAAACAACCACTGCTTTAACTGAAGCACACAGTGGTCTTCAATGCATAATGTTGAGAAGCGTTGCAATACATACTGTGGACAGCAGATGTCTTGAAGTATCTGATGTGGAAGACATTTGCTGAGGATGGAAATTCACATCTAAATGTCAAGAAAAAAACCCAAAAACAGTTAATTGTAACTTTTTGACAAATGCAATTATACAAACCAAATTGTCGCGTTCAAACACACACAACAGAATGGGAGAAAGCACTTACGGTTGTGAATTTGTATAAACTAGCTGGCTGCAGACGGGAAGACCTTAAGAGGAAAAAAAGAAAGAAAGAAAATCAACAACAACAACCGCTGCTCCCGAGGCTGTAACATGAGAGGAGTTCTCTCAGAGCTGCAATTAACCACTTGTGGGCTCCTAAGATATTCGACAAGCATCACTTATTCTGCTTTGGATGATCCACTCATAAAGCTTGTTTATTCATGAGCAGTAAACATTAAAACCGCAGGTTTTAGATGTTGCATTACTGACGAGGTTCTCAAACCAAGCTGAAGGTCAAGTCTCCTTCATCAGAAGCACTCTTACCTGAAACACTTCGTCGGACCAGCACATTATTTGCCTGAAAGGAGAAAAAAAAGAAAAATGAGTTTCATATGCATCTATTTATATGTGTCGTTTGTGAATTTCTAATGGTTTTGGAAGCCTTCTAACTAATAAATTCAACAGTAAATGAGGAACCTCCGTTGCCTCAGCTTTCAGTGAAAACACTGGATTCTCCAGCGCTGACTGTAAAGTTAACTGCGCTGCATGTTATGAGTTACGTCTGTGGGTATGTTGAGGGCAGGGCCTCGAGTGAAGAAGGTTGGTTCTGGCTGCTTTGTCTGATGGAGTCGCTCGTTACCGACTAAACCCGACTGAAGTGGGATGCCGGAGGAGGGTGGAGCAGTCAGAGATCAATCTTCTACAGTACATCGAAGCATGTACAGGCATGCAGCCATCACGTTTTGAGAGAGAGAGAGAGAGAGAGAGAGAGAGAGAGAGAGAGAGAGAGAGAGAGAGAGAGAGATGCCCCCCCCTGTTATGTTTTAACAGGGGGGGGCAATCACTTTTTCACACAGGGCCTATGTTTTAGACTACATTACTTTTAGCCAAGTGTACTTAAACTGTCAACTGACTGTATTTCTAAACACCCCAATGCAGCACATAGTCCACTGGAGACACGAGCACAACAGCCACCTTTGAAGTGAGCAAGACACACGCGTAAGTAACTACCGTGGGGATTATGTTTCAGCGTCACTACCTGCGGATTAAAGCACTGGACAGACAGCTGAAACCTGAAGCTTGAGCACATATATGTCAAACATGACAAGGGCTATTTCTGTCATGTCAGCTACACACGCCTCAGTCTTACAAACACGACACCATAACATGCTAGCATTAGCATCAAAACCAGTTATAGGAAAAAAAAACAATGATGTAGCTTCCAGGGGGCACGAAACAAAGACCCCCTTTTTATATAGTCAGATAGTTATTGGGATAGTGTTGTCTTCTTCTTGAGCTCACTGTCAGTGTCTGACTGTCTGCCCTTGGTAACTTTGGTGAGGCCCTGCTTCACAATGCTAACGTTAGCATTCAGCTAATTAGCTGTATCTCGTTTTAATCAGTACCAAATCGCTTCAGAGTGAATACACCGGCTCAGTTAAGTGTCCGACCTACCTGGCTCACCGCTGACAGAGAACGACCGAGCGTCCGGTATGCACATCTGGATCGCGATAACATAACGCTAGCAGTGTAGCTGTGTCCTCTTTAGCTCAATTTGACAGCGGTTGAAGGAGCGGTACGGAAGCTCGCTCCGAAGCTCGAGGGCGGTGCAGGCGGGACGAACCACTGCGGTTGGCCGGCGGGGGTGTATGCGTCCTATAACATCGAGAATAGGGCGAAATAAAAGTACTTTTTCTTCAGATAACAAAATAAAAACATTCATGTAGAGGTAACAGGACTGTACCATTGTATGTATTAAGTAGTGATCCATACTTTTAAAATTCTTTAGAATTAATTTCACAATAAACATCCATGGCACAACCACTATTTTGGAAAAAGGATACATTAAATACAATTTGAATGTATTTTTCATATAGTCCCATTAAGAGTGGGTTGTGCGATTTAAATAACATGTTATTGTGTGCAGGTAGGATGGGATAGGTTGGCATATTTGACCACACCTCCTGTTTTTTCGGAGGGGCTCTCAGCTGGACCACTACAAATACTTGAGTCATTCCTCCTCCTGCAAGCTCCAGACCTGCAGCCTCCTCGGGTCCTTCTCGACAGGCAACAGGTGGGTTACATAAAAGGCTCCTGTAAGTAGATGTGCTTCTTATTTTGAGTTTTTAGTCTCATATAAAACTAACCAAATAGTTAATATCAAAATTATCTTTCTTATCTGGACAATATGTATTATTGTGGTTTCATTCTTTAGAGTTGTACAGTTCACTCACTATTTTAAGTTAAATATTTTTACTTTTTTAGGATTCATGTGCAAGGCAATTCAGATCTATGTTTGTACAACAATCAAAGTCTTCATTTGTTATTCCAGGAGGCAATTTCATTTTCAATTTCTTTCTGTTTTTTTTTTCATCGCTCTTTTTTCTTCTTCATCCAACAAGCATGGATCCAAGTGTTTGGAGCAAAGGTATGTATTCTTCCAGCAGCATTTGCCTCGACGGCTACCCTGCAGAGCACGTCTCCTCTTTTCAACTGGACCCCGAGCTGTTAAATTCAGAATTTCCAGATGTTTCTGTGTCCTTACACAAAGACAGTGAGGACATAACACTCCCACCGGAGAGTGCATATTACAGCCACGATGATGCTGGTTCAAGTTTGATCTGTTCGAGCCGGCTGGAGCTCAGTCCATCGAGAGACAACACCGCTTTACATTTACCCACGAGCATGCACTCATCTCCTGCATACAGTTATTGTGGTCACCATGAGTGGAACTTAAACAGTGGCCATCAAGCAAAGCGTGCCAGAGTAGAACATATCATCAAAGGCATGACCAGCTCTCCTGGTATGCGCTGCACAGATGGGATGGCGAATCAGCACGAGGAGTCAGACGGCATGCAGGAAAATGAAAGGACTCAAGATCGGGAGCTCGTGGATCGTGGATCTGGCTGTCAGACGACAAGAAAGCAGCTTGAGAGTCAGTATCAGCAGCTCAGACAGCTCAGGACAAGTTTAAACCATGTGGGTGGAGTAACCGACATTGCGGACAGTAAATATCCCACCTGGAACAGTTCTCCTGAAACATCTCCAACATTTACAGATTCATACAGTGAGTTCCAGAGCAGCTCAAGCAGAAAATATCAAGGATGGAAGAAGGTGAAGCTGATGAACTACTTCCAGTCGAAGCCTGAGAGGATAAAGCTGATGGCAGATGTTTTGAAGCACGAACTGAGCAGAGCTGTCAGCAGGAGCGTTGACTCGATCTTTAGAAGCGTGCCACTTCTACAGACATCTCCGAATGACGAGGGGAACGTAGAGACCGACATGTCTCTTCAGTCATCGGTTGGTAAAGATGAGACGCAAGAAGTCCCAGACATTCAAACCGAAGCTCTGTCTCTGGTTGTGCAAAAGCGTCGGCTGGAAAGAGCCGACAACTTCATCCTCCAGTCCAGATCAAGAGCTCCCCATCGCCCCAAACCTCTGGTCCCCTTCTGCCACGACGCTGCTCTGCATGAAGATCAGCCGTCAGAGAAGGATCACAACACTGGACATTCCCTCAGGTGCCCGCGAAAGGAGTGCTCTGAGGTCAGTCGAGCAAAGTTTGACAGGCGTTGGAACTCGGTCAAAGTGAGATCGAAGGTGAACTCCAGATCCGTCAGACGCCCACAGACTCACACTGTGTCGGTGGGTCCCACGCTGGTGGAAAGCCCGTCTCATGTCAAGATTGAGTCCGATTGCCTGAGGAAGAACAACCTATACATGCTGAATGTATCCTGTACAAGTTTTTATTCTGATGTAGTCTAATAATTGAAGTTTTGTATGATTTATTGTGGCTTTAAGAAGCAGTCAATAGTGGCAGAAAATATTTCTTTCCAACAATACAACAATAACTCTTCCTTTGTATTACAACCCATTATGTCACAAACCTTTTCACCCCTCACAGGTATGTGCTATAAAATAAGAAAAATTAATAAAAATTGTGTTTTCAAAGACAGCAAGTTTGCACCTTACAGAATCCAATAAGTACTCCCTTTGATCTTCCAAACTTGCAGAAAATAGGAGTCTCTCATTGAGCTGTAATGATTTCTTTGAGAGAACATGTATCCATCATCATTAACAAAGAAAACTACCGTTTCTTATGTCCCGGATGTGTGTTTTACCCTTAACACCGGTGCGTTTAGGAGGGTCTGACCACAAACCATCTGAAGAAAGCAAAGCACATGTTCTTCTACACCCGCTACCCGAGCTCACTGGTACTGAAGATGTGTTTCTATGATGTGCAGGTGAGGAAATACTTGCAATATTGAGCACCACTCCACTTCATCCACACATTTGTGTCATTTGAATAGATTATATTTACAAAACATGAGTTAATATTACCGTCAAAAAATACAGATGTGTAGCAACTATAACAATCTTGGAAAAGTTGCTGTATTTTGCATTCAAGCAGACATGTTTCCTGCCGTTTCTGAGAAAAAATCTTATGTGGTCGTTTATGTGCGGCATGTTTTATGATCCCAAACCAGTTTCTTTTCAAAATGCATCTTTGTCACCACAGAATAAAGAATCAGTTCCAGACAAGTGAATAGTTTTTCTTTTTTAATTGGCATTACAATCAAGCAATCAGATCAGGATTAAGAACTTTACGTCATGATAGCATTTCTGTAAAAACTCAAAATGTATAAACACGGCAACACAGAGATGTGCTAAAATAGAGTTTATTCATATTTGATTTTCTATATCGTGAAACAAGCTTAGCAGCTTCTCTCTCACATAAAGACATTTATTACAATGCATCAAATTCCACGTTGACCATCTCACTCACCCGTCTCTCTGTCTCGTCCTCAGTTCACGCGCTGCATCACCTCTCAGCTCATCAAGTGGTTCAGCAACTTCAGGGAGTTCTACTACATCCAGATGGAGAAGTTCGCCCGGCACGCTCTCATAGGAGTGGCTGACGTGAGGAGTCCGACTGTGGGCAGAGAATCAGAACTTTTCAGAGCTCTCAACATGCACTACAACAAAGCCAACGACTTCCAGGTAAACTGATGCTACACTATAATCCTTACTGGTGATATCTTACTAACGTCAGTTATTTGTTTGTTTTTTTGCTTTGAGAGCCTCCAGTGAGGTTATTTTATGGTCTCATTTTGATGTTGAGTCCAACACACAATTTACTTTTGTTAGATGTGTGTAGCACACATTTCTCAAGTCTCAAAGCATCATTTTTTAATCTGTCGGATTCGCTGCATCTGCATATTTGTTTCGGGTAAAGATTATAGTGGCTTTACAATACTAAATCAATATCACGGTTCCTAATAATTTGCAGGTTATATAATGCACACATGTAGAAAATGTGAATTGCTTCAGAAATGTTTGCTATTTATTGTAAGTACAGAGGTAAAATAAATAAATAAATAAAAGCTCCTGCATGTGTCAACACACGCTATTGGCTAGAATAGATGCGTACAGATGGACACACAAACAAATGTATCATGAAGAAAAAGACATGAAACCGGCTCATACTGTACACTGAGGAGGGCGGACGGTACAGAGGAAGCAGCTCAGGGAACCATGTGCTTTATGATCAGATACAAATATTTAGTTCGAAGTGCGAAAAGGCTCCGAAAGTTTAAATAAATTGTCTGGTTGAGCCACATTTAGATTATTTCACTTTCATCCAGTTTGTAACAATAGTGAATCCACATAAATATATATATATGAGGAAAACCTACTATAACTTCATGAAGCCGTAACAAGTTAAGTTTGTGAACACTAGGCAGAATATAGTCAAAGTGTATTCATGCTGTAATAAAAGGATTATGAGTCACTGATTCTTATTTTCTCCTTAATCTGGGAATTTATAACTGTTAAAAAGTTTCCCTGTTTATATACATTAACCACATATTAACCAGCCTACATGTGTACTACTCCACAGAGTGACACATATTTAATATAGAGTAACTTAGCTTTAATACTAATTCTACTAACTAGTACAACCACTATCCCATAATAACCCAGTAGTGAGAAGTGTGACTGAAGATGAGTTTCAGAAGAAGTAAAAGGGAACTAAACACTTAATAAGATCTTTAAATGAGGATTTGCTGCAAAAATGATAATTAACATTTCTGAATTTCATAATTAATAAGAGTGAAAGGCATCATGACGAACACAGCTGATTAACACATGTAATAAGACTTGCAGACTATAATGCAAAACGCAGCCTATTATTTTTCTGGTGCAAATGTTTTTAATATTTACAAATTTATGTGCTTTTTTCTCCCCTTCATTTAAAAAAAAAAAAAAAAAAAAAAAAAAAGCAAAATGCTTAGACTTTTAGTAAGGATTCAGTTGAACACAGCTTTAAATGTTTAAGCTGGGTTTCTGCAGGTTACATTTAAGACCGCTCAAAATGCAATTTAATACCAGTTTCACAATCATACTGGCTAGTGTATGAAAGCATGACAGAGAGCCGAGTGACATTATGGCCTACAAATATTTAGTATTATATAACTTTTTCTCAATAGTTCACAGCAGCATATAACTATAGTTCCTGATGCTACAATTAATTTACTCTTATTTAAATTGTTGGCAGATAAACGGTAAAAACATAAAAAATGAAGGAATAGATTAAAATAAAAAAGTAACATTTAAATGTTTAATATTTTGTAAATTAAAGACTTTTTTTCAAATCAAACAGTGCTTTGAAAATCATTATGTGATCACACACAATCACAGATTCCAGGTAAAAAAATAAAATCTACACGAGACAATTCAAACATTCAAAAGCAAAAGGCCAAAACACTAAGTTAGCTGTCAACCATTCGGCTGCTAGGTTTAGTTTTTTTTCTCCTACTGAGTGACGGAGACACTTTTGGTTTCTTCTCATGAAACAATTATTTCCCTGTTTGGTCTCAAGTCAAACAGATTACACGCATGAACACACCCAGCAGTGATGTCGAGTGCGAGAGCTGAAATCAGATGCAATATATCACAACACATCAGACATAGTAGAGAAGATTCTGTAGTTCTTAGAAGTGGTGGCGCTAAAAACTAAAAGTTTGCCTTGAGTTAGAGAAAAGGCCTCAACAAACTGTAGGACATTTGCCTTCTAGATTCTAACAAAGTGTGCAAAGCTGAGCACATTGAATATCCAAAATAGGAAGGGTTCATCCTCTGGGGAGCACAGATGTGCACAAGATTTCATGGTAGATGTACTTACTAGATTCTGATATTTGTACAAAGTGAGCCTTTTGACCAAATAATGGTGAGGAAAGAGGTCACGGGGTCTTTTATACGGAAGCATTTGATGGACTAAATTAAAATGTAATCTCACAATAACATTTTAATTTCCCATGACATGTGCATTAATTGGACCAAAATTAAAATTCAACAAAGCAATTTGCATTATGATAAGTAGCTATGCTCATTTACTGACAATATTAATGTGAAAATGGAAAAGCCATTTGACCAACTACGCTTTATGAGAATTTGCATAAAAGCAAAAATTTAAATGGAAACTGATTATCCCATTTTAATTTCAATTGTGACCTAGATGATGCATCGGTAAATGCAAAATTAAATAAAAATGTATATGTTGCATTCCTATTTCAAAATTTGAAATAACATTTGAATATTGTCAATCATAAAGCTGTTGGACTTTTCAATTTTCATGTCAGAGGATGCCAATGCTAGCAGGGAAAATGCAAATTTCATTGAATTTTAATTCTGACCCATTTAAGAATTATGAGTGAGAAATGAAAATGCTGAGATCAGTTTTTCATTAATCAATCAATTTACTCCACAAAATGCTTCCATAAATGGCTTTAATACTAATTTAACATGCATTGCCTTAAATGTATAAAGCTTTAAACAGCTTTTAAGAACTGACAATTAGACGTATCCCAAATAGTCAACAATTAAATCAAGAAAATTATGAACGATTTTAGGCTATTTTAGATTTTCTTTCCTAAAAGTGAGCATAACTCTTCCAAACCACACCGATGCAGCGTCTCCTCGTGTAATTAAGGTCTTTGACGATGGACTGAATTTTGAACTTGGCAACATAATACTGCTTACCAGCTCCAGTATTGTTATAATTCAACAATGTTACAGTCCCAACATACATTTGTGAAGGTATTTAGGAATATGAAAAACACAGAAAAGTAAAAAAAAAAGCCGAGTCAGGTGTCCCTGATGTGTGTTGATGCATTTGTTGTTGATCAACTGAACTGGTTTAATATTGTTCTCAATCAACCGTCGTGCCGTTGCCATGTTTCACCTCGTTACTTACCTTGATTTTCCGAGCCCGATTCTAAATATGTGAAAACAGTTTGTGTGTAAAAGGCCGTAACATTTCTAATCTTCTGTGGATTCACAGGTCCCTGATAGATTCTTGGAGGTTGCCGAGATTACATTGAGAGAATTCTACGTTGCCGTTTCAATGGGAAGAGATTGCGATCCATCTTGGAAGAAAGCAATCTACAAAGTGATCTGTAAACTGGACAGTGACGTTCCAGCTGAATTCAAGTGTCATCCCTCTGGATGAGAACCAACCAGACGACATCATGTGCCACAGTGGTTACTGTCACAATGTGGACTCACTCGTGCCTTGAATAGCAAACTATTTAGTTTCTAATGAAGCACCGGACATGTTGTAAAATAGAATAGTGACGAGCATGCCCGCACATATTCAATCTCCACACATATGGCAGACTGATGTCTGAGTTTATGCTTTACTGGCTTGCTGCAGCATGAGGTCGTTTGACAGCATTTGTATTTTTGCTATATCAACCATATTATATAGCAATAACACAGTTTGTATTGTACAACTATTTAATCTGTGATTATCTTCAAGTGCAACACTTTGTTTTTTAAGAAGCATACTTCTTTATTAAGCAGCAAAAAAAAGGTCCACGCCAGGAGAAGAAAAAATAATTTAATATTCAGCAGAGCTCATATGTATGTACAGGACAAAATGAAAATTACAACAATGTTAAAATGACAGTAAATGATGTCTCTCATCCGCTCCTTACAAACTCAGTTGGTAAAATATCAGCTTCACTTCCATACTCACCATGAAGATGCATCATCCACTTTCTAAAGGGTTCACTGTGGCTGGCTGTCCACGGGCAAATCAAACGTCTTCTTCAGTGGATCTGTGTGTTCGGTCATAACCGAGGATCCTCGTCTTCAGTAACAGCGTTAGAAATCCATATGAAAATTCTCATGAGTTAAAATTCTGGAGGATTTGATCACAAGTGCAAAAAATTTGTGAATGTAAAATGCATCTTAAATACTGAATACATCGGCTTCCATATTGACCATGTCGTCGTCACTCACTGAGACTGAATTTGGTTCTTTAAATACCGATATGTGCACATAGGCATTTGAAAACTCAACAGCAATATAACTACACCTCTGTGTGATATTTTCTTTTCAATTACCTTGCTGTGAGAACAAAAGTCAAACAGGCAGGTCTTTACATATTAAGGTCTTTACATATTAAGTGTGCCAATGTATTGAGAAAGTATTGAGCTAAGCAGTCAGAGAAGATATTTTGTATAAAACAACCAGCTGTTAAGCTTGTTGAAGTTTGACTTGTGAGACAGACAACAATAAAAGCAATGAATGTGCCTTGTTCTTCCTCACTTAAATACATATTATGGTTAATTGTGAGCTTTGATAATGTGCATTAGTGATCAGATAGTAATCAGCTGAATGTGTTACAGGTAACATATGTATATCTTGTGAATGTAAACATGTGTTAAAACAATGACAAAAACTCAAATGAGACAAAAATAAAATACTATTCTGGTCATAAAAAGCCACTGTGGGCTTACTTTGTTGTTGACAACCTTAAGTTAATTTTAAATTACACTTAAAAGGTTAAAAACACTGAGGTGGTTTTCAGTCCTACAATCATGCACTCACATCACACTTCATATTCAAGCCACAAGTTGAGGTGAAATTGGCAGCTGTCTGTGCAATTACCTCATAGTATTTATTTTTAAATGATTTAAACAAATAAAAAGACAAGGAGAGAATGGCACCTACACCACCATCATGAGACTGGGATGCAACTCACAGAGGTGTAAAACAGTTAAGGGGTGCGATAGATTTGCAATGAAATTTGCAAAGATGTAGGGAATACATTCAACCAGTGGTGGGCCGTCAGGGCCTTCAAGGCAGCTTGTTTTAAGTAAAGCTTTTATCCAATCAGATTTCACCTCTGTGTCTCTAGGTAAGAAGAGAGGCCCGAGGCCTGCAGACTCACAAGTGCATCCATGTGCAGTTTAAGTGAATGGGGACGATATTGTTGATTGTCACAGTGTTCAACCAATCAGATCTTTAGTTTGACATGTGGGGCGTATTCTTTGACGTGCCAGAGCCTGCTAGCTGGCCTACAACCACGTCAGCAATAACGGGCAGCTCAGTTTTCAGGAGCAGCGCTGCAGTGAGGTGCAGGTGCGCTGTGATTGGTCAGTGGGCGAGCACGTGACTATCGCGAAACTGAACTTGCCAGCAGAGCTTAGTTGGAGGAGTAATGCCGTGTTCAAACCAAACGCGAATTCATCTCGCTGCAAATTCGCGTCCATCGCGCCGCCGGTCTCGCCGGGGACCATTTGTGTACAGACGCGCCGGAGAGGGGGCGGGGCTTATCGCCCTGAAAACCGTTCAACTGTCCGCCATTAACCATGAAAAAAAAGAACCTCTATTTCGGCTTAGTACGTGTTGTGGAAGTCACAGATATCCCGGGAAACTAAACGCCGTCATGTCTGGGTTCATAACATTGTTCAGAGGAGCTCCATGGATTTTATCGAGCTGTATTCACTGTGTCTAGCAAGCCACACGTCGCTGTTTACTACAGCGGTATGAACACAAAAACTGATTTGGCTGTGATTTAACGGCAATAAACCGACACAAAGGGACTCCGAAATAACTACGTAATGATGCCGATTTGTAGGCTACTTGTCTTCTCAATGGAGCTCTGATGGATCGGTGCTAGGCTATGCTAACATTGTAGCAGCTCCACCAGCACTCAATAACGTCATGTAGACGTAAATACGGAAGCATCTATTCATTGTTTGTACCATATGGTTTACACACACACACACACACACACACACACATTTATACACATAGTTTGGTCCAGTCTCTATTGATATGAGGTATCGTAGAGCTCTGGGTGAACACAGACGGCTACAGGATTTATTTCCTGATTCAACAACGGCAGGAAGTCAGTGATGACAGGGGAGCAACTCAACTCCGATAGGCTCGCGCCGCAACTTTGCGTCCTTCGCGCCATCGCAAATTCGCGCCGCGCCAGTCTCATCGCGTCTGTGCATAGACTTTGTATGTAATCTACTCGCGCCACAAATTCGCGCCGCGTTTGGTGTGAACGCAGCATAAGAGTTCAAATTGAAAGATATGGAAGAAATTATAAAATTTTTTAGGGTTTTGCTTGGTGTAATTCATTTTTTTTTTTTTTACCTAGCTTTGTTTTTTTAACACTCAATGGCTGAAGGAGGAGGAGAAACGGATTTAGTGGCGGAGTTACTGACAACGCCATTTCAGGAAAAGCTGGACATCGTAAGAAATGGCCAGTCAACGCCACAGCTGGCAGCCCTGACTCAGCCAGGAAAAGGATTTGTATGAACGGTATTTCTTGCTGACAGCGTCGGAGAAGCTTTGCACATTTTATGGCTGGGAATGCGTTTCATTTTAAGTGAGCTCTTGGTGTTTGGAGCTACGCTAACCTGAGGACGCCAAAGCATTTGAAAACTTTTGGAGAGACTCAAGTAGATCTACAACTCAACGAACACGTTCGCATTGAAACAGCTCCACAACCGCGGCCTGCCGCAGCAGACCAGCGAAATACAACTGGGGAGGCTCGACTGTCACTGGCGTCCATGAATTGAGGAGGACTTCTTACTGGAACTGAAACGATGTACTGGGATTAAACTCTTTAAGTTTCGGTAAGTGACAAACTACCTTTGTTTTTGTTTTTTACATAGTAACGTTACTACTGTTCATTTGTCTATCGTGTCGTTTTAATGAATAATATTTGAATGGCTCGTGCTCTTGTGTGGTGGAATGCGTGGATCCGCTGCAGGTTTGCTGGATTGATGTGTCATAATGAGGTTATTAGGAGGTAATTCAACTGTAGTAGGACAGCACAGAAGACCCAGGTATAAAATCCATGTCCCGCCACGGCATTCAACCAACCATTTATTCTTACTTCTGTTCTCCTAATTTAACCATACATAGTCATAAACCTGATAACAGCCAGTCTTAAAACACAGGGGGCTAACCAAGTGATGTCAGGCGGATGTAAATAGTTATTCACAGGCCCCAATGATTCATTTACAGCACATTCTGCTTCAAAAACTCTTTGGCCCTCTTGTTCATCAAGCTAATGCAAGAAACACTCCCCCAGGTTGGTGATTTTGTGAATGTTTTATTGTTTTTTTTTTTTCAAGTATACATGGATCAAAAAAACATTACTACAGGTAAACGGTACATAAAGCATGAAGAGTATAAAACAGCAAGAATCACGGAATACATGACCAGAAGAAGTTACAACCTACAAATTGATCAGTGAATAACCAGAGTTCCTGTTTAAAAACGAGAAAAAAAAACAACTATACTGCATCTTTATCAATGAAATAACTAAGAATCTGATAACCATTGCTGGTATAGATGAGTCTCTTGTTTCACCACAAGTAAGCTTCAGTGTTTTCACATTCTGGAAACCTGCAGAAAAAAAAAAGAGATCATTGATAATTTGGCCAAAGATAGATTTGTTTGTGATCAAGTTGAACTTTTATGCGTTTGACTTATGTGATAACTAGGAAAATACATTCCTAATAAACTTAGGTTTTGTAAATTCAGTTACATTCAGGTATTGTGCTAACACATTATGCAGAACAAAGTTACAACTGTATTCGTATCACTATAAAAGGCATTACAGCTGTAAAACATACATGCCCGCAAACTTAGTAAGGTTTCTCCCTCGGCATTTTATTGACTATTTATTGCGATTAAGCTAAGAAATGTAAAGACAAGCTTTTTTGAAGAATCGGCTTGCTGAAAAAAAGGTGAGATGAGACCGGTCCATTCACTTGCATTAAAGAAACTATAAAGTACATTTTCAAACCAGGACATGTAATAAGAAAAGGCCTTAAACATGTCCTCATCAAGTCATTAAAGGTTAAATATGTATTTTCAAAACACCGATATGACGACTTCTTACTTTTAACAGCTATCGGTAACGTCTACAGCCATCCTAACAACATTATACAAAGGAGTAACATACTGTACATACCTTTCAATGAAGGGAGAAAAGGGGGATCTTTAGAAATACTTGGTACGGTTGAGAGCTCTTTGTGCCAGCTGCCCGCTCTCATCAGTTATTCTCTCCCAGTCCGTTTGACCCACCACAAAGCCGATAGCACGCTTTCGATCGGCTTCCTTCTGCTCCTCGAGATCAGCCCAACGGACCTTGACAAAGCAACCACGGTTTTGCGTTATGACCAGGAAGTGGATGACAGGGCATCATTTAACATAAATC